CGGTGGGTGGTGATGACTAACTGCCTTCCCTCTAGTCTTACACTGCTAAATTATGGACGGCTAGCGCAGATAGCCTTAGTGTAGCTTTGCGCGAAATTCCAAAACAAACAAACAAACAATGTGGAATCAAAGGATATAACGTTGAGAAGTAGAGGACCTTCAGTGTTCTTCATGGAAGTGAGGAAAACCTTCATAGCAGTGTTTAGGTAGAGTTGACATGCAAATAGAAGGAACAAAATTTACGAGAGTGGGACAAGGACGAGAAAAACAGTGTAAGAGAAAACGTATAATAAGTGAGGAGAGTATTTTATACATACTGCGTATTTCAGCCTCCTATGTGTGAAGGTGTCGTGGAATAGCAATCGTTAAAAATTTAATGCTTTTTTTGAATAACACCTTCATTTTATTGTATATTACTATCTTTAGAACAACATTTTATAAATAAATGGAGCTTGAATTAGTCACATTTTCAAATGAAAATATTGTCATGTGTATTAGGAAGGAACTGTAAATTGAATCAATCAAAACAGAGCATTCAAAACGCTAAAGTGTCCAGTGAGAAGTTATTAGTGTGAATGGCATAGAGGCCAAAACATTCTTCGATTACTTCCATCGAATATGATCATTGAAACACTTTTAAACGTTTTTGATATAATATTTATGAGACTACTCATTTTTCTCATTAATTCTTACTTCCTAATTTTACAGTTTTCTTCACAAAAGACAGTTTTACAGCAGCTTCGAATCTCAAAAAAAGTATTGTGCTAAAACTAGACTTAACATCATAAAGAAGGATTTGAAGTTTCAAGTCACAACTCGAAATCAACGGATGTTTTCACGAGAATGCAGCTCCAATGAACTTTTGGTCTGTTTAAAACAGAAGTCAACATCAAAGTACATATAATAGGTATATAGAAATAGTCTCGCAATCTGAGGGTCGCGGGTTTGAATCCCCGTCACACCAAACATGCTCGCCCTTTCAGCCGTGGGGGTGTTATAACATGACGATCAATCCCACTATTCGTTGGTAAAAGGGTAGCCCAAGAGTTAGCGGTGGGCGGTGATGACTAGCTGCCTTCCCTCTAGTCTTTCATTGCTAAATTAGCGCAGATAGATCTCGTGTAGCTTTGCGCGAAATTCGAAAGACAAACAAACAAACAATTTTAGCCTACAGACTTACTAATGAGCAACTGGGGAGCAGTATTAAAACGGAAACTAATGTTAGGAGGCGCTTTGTGTGTTATTGTTTAGTGACCATTTACAAAATGCTAAGCAATAATTTCCTTATTCACCAGACTCAGAATTCTACGAAATTTTCAACTACTTTGAAAAATTAGTTATGAAAATTATGTTTTACTTTTAGGCGTTACATATACGTATATATTTTTTTCACAAGCTCCCCTACCGATAATTTGTCTTGGATTTTTTCGAGCCGGACTAAGTGCAACGGAAAAACAAACCCGAGTAGTAATTTATGTTAAATATATTTAACTATATAAATCGATGAAGCGTACAATTTGAGTCTTTTTAGAATTGCTTACTATTCTGTGGTTTTTGGATAAGATATAATATATTGAAAGTTGAGCATAATTTTTTTCTCTTTTTCGTCTTACTTACTTTCTAACTGTTAGAGAAAATACGTGCAGTGGAGGTTTCACTCAAGTTAAAAAAAAACATTTACACCTATAAATTATTTATACAGTGGAAATAAACTCACCCAATCCAAATTAAGCAGCTCATCAGGACTCGTCTGCAGCAACGATAGAAAACTTTCATGTTTAAGTTCAACACTATAGCTTCCAGTCTAGCCACAGTCTAGCCATGTCTATCGAAACTTTTTTCAAATTTTCAAGGTGGATTTTAACATAGTTTAAGGTTTTTCTATCAAATTATAATTTACTAATTAATGATTATTTCGTTACTCTTTCAAGTAGTCTTCTGTGAGGTGATCACTTGGACGAGATAAATCTACTAGTTTCACGTTTTTTAAATAGTAGTGAACTTTAAAATAAAATTTAAAAATACTATCTTATAACATTAAACAGTTATATGGTAGACGGAACTTTTGTGAATCTAACAATGTTTCTTGCCTGTTACTTATCAAACTGAAGATGACGACAAGTGGGTGGCGTGCCTTAAAAACCTTAAATTGAATGCAGCGCCTCCAGTGGCGACTTTGTGTTAGTTCGATATAATATACTGTCAAGCCAAGTGAAAGCGGCCACTGAGAATTAGAGAACATTTTCTTCATTAGTTTTTCCCGTGACATTTATTTGCTTTGTTGCTGAGCGCGTTATGTTCTATATGTTTTTTTTAAATTCTGTTCCACATTCGCTTTTGTTAATTGTTCAAAGTTTTATCTCTAGCCATTGATTATAATACTTTTCTTTGTCAATGTCTATTGTATATTGAGTACTATTGTTTGGACTGTTTTTTTATCAAACAAGGAGAAAACTGTTCTTTTGAGGTTCACCATTTTCAACTTGAAAGATATTGATCAATTTTCAAAATTAGTAAGTTTTTTCTTAGTATTAAAGCTTGTGTGTGTGAATATTATAGATCCTCTCGAAAGGATCTTTTGGGGATACATCTTTGTAAGGTACAAGGTATTCGAAAAGGGTATTATAGGTATTTTTGTTATCACTTTTTGAAGAAAATATGTGTGCAATCATGAATACACGATTTTATGTATCCCTTGTACTGCATATTCACATATTTAAGGCAAGTTTAAATTACGTAATTTAATTCATAAAAATTATTACTGTTTAAACGTGAAAGGGCAGGCGTGGAAACAGTTAAAGTAACGCACGTATTACTTACAGTCCAATACAATAACTTAAAAGTTTTCAGTTTTATTAAAAACTTCATACCATCTCATATATTTGTTCTTTACGCATGGTCTTAGTTTTAAGGTTAATGATTTTTTCTTGTTTCTTTTATTATATTTGATGCGCAAAGCTATACAATGGATTACCTGCAATCTGTCCACTGCGGAGAATCGAACCTAGGATTCTGAATTTTTATCAGTACATTAACTTTAATCTTCCATGTAATCCCATAAGATATGTTTACGTATTCTCGGGAGAATGTGAAGAACTGAATAGTGGGCAATGACACTTTTTCTTCACTTCACCTATCCAGTGTATAGATTTTTCTCGTAATGACTACAAAGCACGTTCACACCAACAGTATGTTTGATATAATTATAATATATTATCTTACCAGTTGATAAATCACGTATTGTAAATTATATATTATATCACATTAGCTGATACATTTTGAGCTATAGCGTTTCTTTAAAAAATCGCAACCAATTCTCGAAAGTAGTTCTGATACATTCAGTTCTACTGGTACTTTATATCGACTGTGGGTCAGCAAGTCATGTTGATTTGTATATTTGAAATCATTTTAATACAACCTACTAACAGCCTGTATAATCAGATTTATATCAGGCAGTTCACACAAGTAATAGCTTTCAAACACATTCAGTGACACAAAATAAATTAGGAAGAATGAATGGCTGAATTTAATCATTCTAAGATACACAACAATAAAATTATTGCGATTATAGACATGTGTTATATAGCTCTAAGCCACCTTTTAACACTGAAGTAGTAGCAAAGTGTGAACATTATTATTTTTTACTGTAAATGTAAAATAAACGACATAGAAATTACATTAATTTTACCCTGAAAAGAAACACGGAAAACAACTAGGATAATCAAAAATTATCGCATAAGGTAAGCGAAGTGCGTTTGGAAAATTAGAAATAATGACATTAAATGAAAAACTTGGTTTCAAAATACGATATTCCAATGAAGTGTGTTATGTATAGTTTTACCCATAACTTTGTTTTGTTTACGAAAAAAATCTGCACAGTGGGCTACATGGGCTCTGCCTACCGAAAGTCTAAAGCCCCGAATTTTAGTGCAATAAGTTCTCAAGCTTACCGCCGTGCCGCTGGTAAAGAAAAATCTACACTGTTTTAAGGAATATTTTGGCAGAGCAGATAATACTAGCATTGTATCTTCAATGGACTGCATCTGTACGGAGATAGGCGATGGACGACGTTTCGGTGTCTATGCTAAGGCCTGATGAATACATAAGACCCAATAATTGTTCACCACATACTAAGCATATTTTGACGCAAAATAAAGTGAGAACTTATCATAACAAGTAAAACATGAGGTGCAAAACAAAATATAGCCATATACCATCAATACTCTTCGGTAAAGCATGCATTTTCAAGTACGGTAAAAGGAAACAAAATGTGTACGTACACTTTACCATTTCCTTTCCTTTTGTGTTGCATAGATAATACTACACACTGCATGAAGCTCCCATCTACGGTGGGAAACCTTTATTTATATTACTGAAAACATTTAAGCAATTGTTTGTTTGTTTGTTTTTGAATTTCGCGCAAAGCTACACGAGGACTATCTGC